AGYGCATTATGATTCTTTCCCACCTCTTCTACTGCTCTTCCCATCCATGTTTGGAACCACTAGAAAGTATTAAAAGAATTTTGAGGCAGAAATGTTTCTGCTAAGCCTAATTACTGACAAAAGCACCATTACTCTATACTTCTCTACTTCAAAGCAATGTCAGTTCATACTGCATATTCCCACAAATATTCAAAAGCAGAGCAGCATTGGGGACAATAAATSAGTATATTTTGCAGTATTTTTCCCTTTCATCCTTAACTGCTGTTAAGTTGTTGTAACCATCATGGGAAAGAAAGGCTCTGCTGGTCATAAATACTATGATTATAATAAGAAAGATTCCCTTCAAGGAAAGAAGAGACAGTACTGATTCAGGCTGTTCCTGATCCTATGTCCAATGACAAATGWAAAGAATATTGTTTTTGATCTTTTACAAATCTTGTTTTTGTAATGAACATATTGTTTTTATATTGGGGAACCATTGATTTCTGAGTACTGGTTGAACTCAGACTGAATTGTTTGTCAAAAGCAGTATGCAATCAGGAACACAACCATGACACTGTCCTGTAATTAAAAAAAAAATATTTAACATTAGAGATTCAGTTTTATCTTCAGAATTTTTGCAAAAAGAGCAGTTAATGGAATGGACAAACGCTTTTGGCATTTCCGTGAGTATACTTACTCATACTGTATTCTGTAACTCATGCCTGAGTTGTGTGGATTGGTGCTGAACACAAACTGTTTTTTAAGACACCACGTCACTTTGCTAAAAGATGCCTCTTTTTTGAGGCAACACTTCATCTAGARAAAGCCCACAGTGGTACCACAAAACTCTTTCAGCCTCATATGGCCTTCAGGATAGGGTGGTGCCCCTTGGTGCCGGGACACTGATTCTGAAAAGAACTTAAAATCTTGGTAGTTAACTTTCTAATGTGAGGCAGTCACTAAAATGTTAGATGCAATCCTTATCCTGCCTTTTTAGGCAAGGTGCTTCCTTTTCCCTCTAGAAATCTTGTAATGTTAGCAAAACTGAGTAAATTTAGATTGATTCTTCCTTTGGTATTCAGCAAGACAGTGAGTCACCATTTGCCACCAGGCCCTCATGTTCAGTASGGGCTACATAAATATACCTAAACCTTCCAAACTCCATTTATGAATCTGGGCCCCCACTGTCATTGAATACCCTATGTTAATGAATTCCACAAAKCAATTGTTTGATATGTAAAATTGTTGGTACCTCTTCATTTCAAATCTTCCACAAAATTTAATTGGGAGTGTTGCTTTTTGAGATGTGAGGAATACTGACTCTCACTACACTCAGTATAGCAGCTCTGTCAGATCACTTCATGCAGCCAAGTAGAAGACCTTTAYCATTTTCTGTTTTCCTGATGTGGACAGACTTCCAGATTTTCCTATATAGCCCCTCAGCCTGCTGATTTTCTCTCTGATTCTTGTTTTATTGTCTGTAARCTTTATTTTTGCAGCTGACAAAGACAGTAACAATTTTCAGCCCCTAATAATTTTCCTCAGTCTCCTCCAACAAAGAGTGATTATCTGGAGCTCTYTAGCTTGTGGTGTAAAAATAGTCAAAACAGATAATATTTTCTCTAGCCTTTGCTAACATTTTTACTGTAACAGATAAACCTAAAATAATTCCATTGACGTCAATGGAGCTGCTTCAGATTGGCATTGCTGAAACTGAAAACATCATGATACCATTAAGAGCATCCTGTTTAAGGCAGGGTTTGTTGAAGATTCAATTTTATAAAAACAGAAAAGAAAAARGTGTCTTCAAATGCTTTAAATTTGAAGATTAAAGATTTGAGATTAAATTTGSAGCTAGCACTATGAAKAAAAAGCRAAGAAGACMTTACTGGGACAGTGCATGCTGACAYTTTTGYAGCTCATCAGGTCTTTCCCATTGCATGTCTGTGGACTTTTCATGTATGACAGCTTTAATATGCATTGCTAAGGCTGGAACTGTTGCTGGTACAATTAATTTTATTCTCCTCTGGTCTTATGGCCCTGTTAATACAAGGTATTGCAGGTGTTGAATTTGCTCTCTCAGAATATCACTCTGTGTTGATGGAGTGGGTTCAGGGTATCTAAATGACTGCGTAAGTTCCCGTAATAGCTTTCCTAGGGTAATAACTCTGAATTTCTTAAAACAGGAGTAGAGTTTACCCTTCACATGTACATGGTCAAAGGGCCCATCAGAAATGTTAATACATTTGAGAATTCATTTGCTGCTCGTGCTAAGTATTTACGACAGCAAAGATGTATTTAAATATATTTTTAGTTAAAAAAAAAAAAAAAAATGCTCGTGCAAAATATTTAGGACAGCAAAGATCTATTTAAATACATTTTTAGTTAAAAAAAATAAACAAAAAACAAAACAGTAGTAAAAGCAAATAAAAATTCAAATTCCCATCAAAACAAAAACAAAAACAAAACAAAATTGTTGTGGTTACTGATTTCCCATATGGAAAAGGAGGGACAAGATGCTATTTGAGTAACATAAGGTGCTTAGACGTCCTCAGATACGTATTAGAGAGAGCTTGTAAAAGCTGACACTAATGCAGACACAGAATGCAGTAGAATAAAGTGAAGAAGGAGGAGGCAGCAGCACRTTTGCTAAATTTGCTTTTGTCCCGGATTTCCCCCAGCGCTGGTACGGGTGGTGGTACCTGCTCTGCTGTGCGCTTGCAGACAAGCAAAACTTTCCACCAGGCTGCAGAGCCAGGGCTGTTTGCCGGGCTGTGCCGCTAGATGGAGGCAGAATCTGCACAGTTCACACCYGCTGAGAGGGGTTGAGAGTGCCAGGGGCAGCGTTTTCCCCAAAGGAGAGGACCTGGATGAGAATGGAAACGCWAAGAGCTCAACAAGAAGTAAAATGCTGCTGTTAGCATCATCAGTGGTACCTTTGCCATCTCTGAGGACTTCTATTTCATTTCACTTGCTGTGGAGATGATAACTTGGCACTGCTGCCTCTCTTGCGATGCATCCTTCAAGACACAAGGGTGCCTCACTGCCACCTGTGCTGGCCCTACTGCAGKCCAGTCACTTCATGCACTCACAGGAAGCTGTCTTCCAGATGTGTGCCACTGTTAGGACAGTGTTCCTAGGAATATGCATCGGGGTTTTATCCCATTCATGAGGATATTAATTGGACACTAGAGAACACATCTGCTGCTTTCAGTCAAGTATTTGTTCTCCTGGCTTCATTAGTCACATTTCCTCCTCCATCATTGTGCAYGTGTGGCCTTAGGAGTGATTCCTTCTGCACAGTCTTTCCCCTCATGAAACCTGTCTTTTATGTCTGTTTTCTCTTTATGAACCATTAGCAAGTGACTTGAGCTTGATAGTRAGAACCATGTATCTCTGTTTTGTGCTTTGTTCCCTGTGCAGAGTTTGGCCAAGGAACTGGGTGATTTCTGTCATCGTTGCATTTTTCCAGGACCCCCGAGCTCAACCCAAGCTGACCAAGCATCCACATAGACCCCTTTTTCATAGCCTTTARTACAAATGGGATCTGACAATCCAATCTAGGGCTCCAAGTTTTTCTCATACCTCAAGACACCTGTGCCCTCAGAATAATATCTACTTGGCACCAGCTACTTCATCTTTGAGCTTTGTGTGGAAGAAATGGCTGGTAACTGTCAGGATTTTTTTTCAATATAACGCTGATATCACTCTGATGCTGTAGTTGTTGCTAAGCAGCCTTTACATTAAGTAAAAGCTTTTCATCTTCACATACCACCAGTGAGAAGCTTGGGGGGCATAAGACACTGGAAGGGGACCCAGCTGGGAGCCAAACTGGCCAGAGGGATATTCCATAACACAGGATGTCATTGCTCAGTGTATAAACTAAGGGGAAAGCTGGCCAGAGGCTTCTGCTTGAGCATTGTCTGGGCATTGGTCAGCAGGTGGTGAGCAGTTGCATTGTGCATCATTTGTTCATATATTCTAACTATTATTACTGTTATTGTGGTTAGTTGTTATTTCCCCCTCCTTTTCTGTCCTATTAAACTGTCTTTATCTCCACCCACAAAAAAAATTTTGCTTTTTTCCCCCCATTTCTATCCCTCATCCCACTGAGGGGGCAGCTGTGTGGTGTTGAGTTACCTGCCCGGTTAAACAGTGTCAGTCCTTTTTGGCACCCAAATGGGGCAGGAAGGGTTGAGATAACAACAGATCTGACCAGATCTGACACGTTAAACCTAATTTGTTGTAAGTATTCATTGTATTAGTTTAATAGTCCCTGGTCACAATGTTGATTTATTTGCTCTCAGAGTTGTTATGCGTGTTCTCCGAGTTGCATTGAGTAAGCACCCCGTTCCCTGCTGTGCTGTGTCACCTCTGGGGGGTGGGTGAAGGTCGTTCTGGGTAACACTGGTTTAGGAGAAGAGAAAGATGCTGCCCGTGAGACTGAGCTGGAGTTTGTGCTCGGCATCTCTGTGCGCAGGGAGCCATCTGTCGGAAACTGTCAATAAATACACTTTCTACCTTGCTAATTTTGACGATTTATTCCTCGGGAAAATTCCTGTTGTTGTTGTTGTTTGTTTGTTTGTTTGTTTGTTTGTTTTAAGTACCCAGAGGTGTTTGAATATCACAGAGGACAACAGTAATTCCAGTCACCTACTCAAACCTGCTTCTCTGGAAAGCCAGTGAGGACATGCTGATGATAACTTTCCCCTTTGGGAAAACATCTCAGCCCGTTCTCAAGGAAGCACTGTGGGAACTCCTCTATGTGTGAGCCATACGGGAAGCACACTGATTCTGAGGATGCAATGCTGTGCCAGGAAATGCATGGCAGCTGAAAGCCAGGCAGTGGCAGAGTTTGTTCTTACAACAGTAAATGTACACAGGCTCTTTAGGTACTGATAAATCTATTTAAAATGATGTTTGTCTAACTGTCTATCATRCATACAGAAGTAATTTAATCCCCTGGTGAAATGCCAGAAAAGAAAAGAAAACATCAGAAAACAAGTACACTACTTTTTTTTATTATTATTGTTTAGTGAAATTGTGTAAAGTGCAAATAAATGGATACAAAAATTCAGGGAGAGAAAGTGCAGCCCAGGAGTTTGCCATCTTAATTAGCCAGAGGACTAAAATTGTTTTGGAACACCAAAACAATCACATGTGAATTATTTGGTCTTCRTTAAGCACTTTCTTCAAGAGTTGGATGACTTTTTCCCTGTGAAAAGAAAGATAAAACATAGAGACTCTACTGAAAATTGACTATGCAGACTTCCATGTTTTATTCCTAGTGTTCCTCTAGCATACCCTGAGAAAGGCGGTGCCTAAAGAAAAGCAAACCTGACAAATTTTGCCCCATGGRGTCAATTCTAGTTATGTTCCCTTGCTGCTGCTAAGGAGTTTCTTCCTTCACTAAACTTGGTGATTGGCATGGTACCTCTCATATCCTKCCAGAAGCCCCACTCACTGAAACAGCTCATTTGCAGAGCAAGGGGCTCAGGATTTGCTTGGTAGAGTGCAGGTGTGTGGAATGACACTGTGCCAGGCCTGGCACTGCTGCTTTGTCACCTCTTGGTTACAGTGGGGACGTGATACAGAGGATACATAGTGAGTGGGACAGAGTATGTAGCAGTGTTTTCCCCAAGCTTGTTCATTTTCTTTCTTTTTGATAATGTGATGACGCCCTTGGGAGCAGGGAGAGTGAGACCTGTACCCCAGTAGGTTTTTTATTGAAAATTAGATTTCATCGTGAGTTTACCGTATAACTTCTGAATTCCTCGCCTGTCGTCTGCTGGAAGTCTGAACTTTTCTGGGTTCTCATATGAGTAGAGAGGGTACATCAGAGCTCCACGGACATTTGAATGAGCAAGTCCCAAAGAATGGCCAAATTCATGAGCAGCAACAAGGAACAAATTGATATCTGAAACACAGAAGCACAGAAACGTATGTTAAAGGTATGGCATTTCTTTTTAACATACAATGAATTGAAATAGCAGGAGAATTTGTATATTTCAATTCATCTTGGAATGAAACCCCAGGCTTTGATCCATTRTTGTTGAACTTTCTCATACAACAGTAATATTTTATAAAAAAACTACAGATTCCTTGCATATACATCTAGAGGTCCTGAGTCTCTTTCCAACTCTGCTTTTAGTCAACCTTATTCCTACAATAAAAGTCAGTTTGCCACTTTACCAACTCCTACAAAGCAAGTCAATTTACCTTTTCATAATTTATGAAGAAAACAGAGGCTCACAGTCATTGTTTAGGCTGTGAAAAGTGCTTTAAAATATGGGTAAGACAGGTATTATGTAGCTGTTRATGGTAATGAAGCACAAGTACTTAAAAAGGTAGTTGAAAAGAACAGAAATGTTAACACTGAAGTAGGAAGAGTTATTGAAAGCACTTYCTGTGGCAGTGTTCTGCCAACATGTACAATATTTGCCTTTCCCTTTCACATACATGTGAGCTTTACCTTCATCAACATCTGACCATTTTTCATCATCATCAAAATGAGCATCTCCACCAATCCCGGCTCCAGGTGCAAAAGCATGAGCCAGCGTGCTTCCTCTTCCATCAAAAGGATATCCATCACCATGCTCTGCATTCAAAATAAATCAATGTCACCAGATGATGTCAGTTATCACATTTAAATTCAGCAAATTGAAGCATGTTGCTTGTTTGTGCTAGTTTTGTTGATTGTCAATCCTTTAAAAAAATCCTACAATGGCAACAARGTTGTGAAAATGAGAAGCAAGGCTTAGGAAATACTCTCCAAGTTCATGACTTAAGTTCAAATCCTGTATTTGTTAATTCAGGCTGCTGTAGATTTCAGAAAGAGCTGAGTATTCTTTTCCTGAGCTTTTGTCAGAAATGTGGTTCTGAGGAAGCAATCAGGGATTATTTCAGAAAAAAATACTTAATGTTTGATGATGTTGTTGATATCTGAATGTTTTTGATGCTGMAAAGTTCTGGGCAGTATTAGTTGTAGACATTCTCACTTGCATTAATTTTAGTGTGAGACAGTGATTTGGGATAGATAGCCATGTTTCTGAAGAGATAAGTTCATTTATCCCCAGCTTTGTGGTACAGTCCATTACCTACTTCTTTTGTAGCACAGGTGGAATGTTACTGTTTCCTACCTCCAGTGCAAGAGCTGCATCTGAATTATACCAACTCTGAAAATTTCCCCCTCCCTCATAATGAGTCTCTGCCTTGACTGAGGAGTAGCTGGGAACTTTATGCCACTCTGTCCTTTGCCCCAGACAATGTGGCTGGGCCTTAGGGCACAACTAACACAGGCAGAAGAGACCTAATCCTGGTGTGTGACATGGGATTAAAACCCATTCCAGTTTGTAGGATTGTTTCTCACTTTGACTGGGACATTAAGACGCCTCCTTATGGCAACATAATGTTCTTCCCATTGGTGACACATGGGTTTTGGACATTTTGGTGCTCATACGCTGTCATCTGCTTGCAAGCCAGGTGTCTGATCTTCACTTACAGTCACAGGACCTCKAGTAGATATTATCAATGGGTCTAGAGAACAAGTGAAATAACCTTGAGGTAGGCATTTAGTTTGTCTAAACTGAGTCACTTTCGATGCCAGGCACAAGTTAAAGGTATGGCTACATCCACAGATTATTCTGGATCACAAATGGGCTTCTGAAGTGACCCTTCTGGTCWTCCCCACGTAGCTTTGGCCTGCAGCATGGTGCAATCTTGGGGGGCAACATGGCATTCCTTCTAGAAGCAAATCAATCAGAAGGGACTCTCTGTGCCCAAACCTAACGCAAACCAGCTGCCAAAGGCTGTTTAGTCTGGGAGCCAGACTAGATCTAGACCAAAGTAAGCCTGCCTTGACCTGCCTGAATCCAGCCTGTGCATGTTGGATCTTCAGAACCTGCTGATTTGCTCTACAGAGCTTGTCCCAGTAGTTTGYGCTATTTATCAAGGGAAAAAGAGCCTTGAATATCTAAATTTAAGTGTCTCATTCTGCAGCTGAATTCTCCCTTCATTTCACAGCTGTGACTCTGAAAAGATTTTTCTAACAGCTTTCAATGAGTAAAACTGAATCATAACATACAAATTGGGTGACATGATAAAGTGAAGATAAAACTTATGCAGGCTTTGATTTCATTCCAAACTCTTTGCTCTTTCTTAAAGCTATGGCTGTAAAAATACATGCTTTGAGTAAGATATGGACCATTATATTTTAAAAATAACAGCCATTCTCACCACGACGTGCAAATCTAATCTCGATGTCTGCCTGGCCCAAGAAGACTCTTCGGAAGTGCAGTGGAGTCACATCACTCCATACCATCAAGGCCCTTTTAATTGCATCATCCACTTTCCTTCTGGGTAAATCAGATGTATAGCTGGCAATCCTGGCAGCAAAGAAAAACAGATTAATATCATTTAGGGTGTGAAGGAAAGACACTTAATTAAATACAAAGCAACCACTTTCCCCATAAAACCTAAAACATCGCTCACTTGTAAGTCAAATGTGTCTTTTTCCATYTTGGAGTTCCAGGAAATGTTTGGTATTCTGCTATATCAGGCAATCCACATCTAGGAAGTTTCAGTATTTCTTCTGTTTCTGCATTTAATTTTCCAGTTACAGTCAGRTGGAAAAACCTCTGCATTTCTTTAATCCTCTCTTCTATGCTTAGGTTTTGTGCTTTTGCAAGAATTGGGAAGAATTTATCAAGATATCCCTGGAAGAAGAGAAGGAAAATTAAAATTAATRCATATATCTGTGATGTTTTGGTAATTGCATTTTACATTTGGTTGAATCACCATCCTGCAGTCATGTCTGGTTTTAGTTGTGTCTTTCTTTCCCATTTCAATTTACCAAATTGTGCTCTCTCTGTAGTATAGATCAGCATATATAGAAAGAATTATAACAGCAATGAAAGATTCTAAATAAGAAATTCTTTTAATTTGCCACAATTAACTCAGCATTAAAATCTACAGCCTTCCACACAGTACACATAAAATTATTAAGATTTTTTTAAAAATTACATGCTCCCCTTTATTCACCAGTTGGAACTTGGTCTCTTTTTTAAGTTAGTCTTAGGATGTCTAAGCTAGTCAGCAAATTTTARCTGTTTTATGTCATGTCTGCAAAAACTGTTGTGGTAATGCAAGATAAGGTTAATATAAACAGATTGGAAAGGAAGTAGAGGCTGAATGAGAAATCAGATTATTCATAATGGAGTTATGTTTCCCCTCTGATAACTTACCTTTACTTTCTCAAGGTCTATGCTGGTCCATGATTCTGGTCTCAGCGGTACTGGAAGAGCAGAAGTCTCAGGTAGGAAGATGGCAGCACAAAGCAGGAGGTAGTGCAGGGTGCCCATCTCRCCAAGGAGACTTGCTGCAGCAGGAAGGGTTTGAGCTTCTGTCTCCCAAGACCACAGCTAAAATCCCTTATATAGATCCCGACAGCTCCCAGCAGCAATTACATATGTGACTCACTTTTTGGTGTTAATGTCATGTCATCACTGCTCTAAGAAGTAAATGAAAGCATGTTAAACAAATCTGTCCTGTAACTTCCCTGTTGATGTCACGTCACAGCTAGCAGCCAGCTTTGTCTCGCTCTTTTCATATTATTCCAGTAGTGAAACCACAGGGTCATAGGGAAGTTCACTTTCTGTAACTTTATCGGTACAGTTACTGTGTAATCACTTCATRCCCAGCTTTTCCCATGTTCCTTATACACAAAGGTATTTTGCAACAGCCCTTTGGCTGCCTGCCTGTATCAGTSGATGGAGAGGCAGAGAGGAGATGGATGCGAGCACTGTCTCACTGAAACTGCTGTCCTTACYGAGGGAGCATGAACAGCAGTGCCCACTCACTAAACTTTAGGAGGTTTCTGCAGTTTTTACAGAGATCTGAAGACAGATCTCTAAAAGTGTCCTCTGGAACTAGGAGCCAACGAGACACCTTTGTCCTTTTCCCACCAATTGAGATGTCCTTGCAGAAAAGTCTCTTCACATTCAAGAACTAGATATGGAACATGTAAGAGTAAGWGAAAACTCTCAGGGAAAAGAGGGGGGCTTACCCTTGCAGAGAGGGGCTTACCCTTGCACATGTGGAGGTATCAGACCTCCAGCTGTACCAGAGCAATCTGACCGAGGTACATGAAGGAGCCATAACCTCCCTGGCCCCTGATACCCCCACCAGTCTCAGCTTCAGCACACTAGATTCCACCAGTTAGTTTTTCAGGCCTGKAAACACCAGTCCACAAGCTGGTTTATGATTTTTGTTTCAGTGTGCAGTTTTGTRATCATTTTTCCTCTAATCTGAAAGGAAAGGTGCATAAATGGGAGAAGAACATTGATATTTCTCATGCTGGGAGAACCCTTATGGGTATAGCTGAACGTGTAAGGAAGGGTATGTGGGTTATTAACTTAYATCCAATGTACTTCTGACTGATATGATGAGAAAGAATTTAATATTGGAGAAAGGTGATCAACCCCRAAACAATGCTGAATTATGCAGGAGAGGACAATTGGATACAGCAATGTCTGGAACAATGGCTAAAGGATTATTGCTGCCACCTAGTATTGAAAACAGCCCACTTCCTGACGTATGATTGCTTCTGTACATTTTTGTAGACTTACAAGAAATCYATCCATGTCCAAATTTTAATTTGATGGAAAAAAATTCAAGTATTTAACTGCTAGGAGCAGATTCATCTTTTTCTTCCTCAACAGCTGCCCTTATGTCTGACTGTGGTAGTAAAGCTGGGTCTGGACCAGGTCTGGGTGGCAGGAGATGAGGATGTGTTCAAACCACTTTGAACTCCATGACTCCAGTGTSTGGGTCTGGTTATTTCCTCACAGTCGTGAGAGGAATCTGAAAGCTTCAGAGCTGATGGGCTGTTGAGCAACTTGCACATGTCTTTAACTGGTCCAAGAGCAAAACTAAAAAGGAGAGTTTAAACACAAGATCCTGATGAGAAAGGACAAACATTATCCTGTATTTTGTTTTCTGCTTGAAGCCAACTGTGGTCTTTTTTTTTCCTTCTTTTTCTGAAAAAGAGAAAAGATTTTGAAGAACATTAGGCTTGAATTGAAATGAAAAAAAATCAGTGAAAAAATTTTAATTTCTTTGGGATCAAAATCAGATGAATCAACCTAATTCTAATAAGATCACTATCAAAAAGGAGCAGATACTCTAGATTTAGCTGTGTGAATTTTTTAGACTTTATTTCTTTGTCTTGGTCATGAATGATAAAAAACATTATGGGTTAGGAAAAATAATTTCTTGTACAAAAATCCTAATCATGTAACTCATAGTCAGCCTGTGTTGGAGCTGATGGCCTTTGCAGACAAAATTCGAGGAGATCAGAAGAAACACTGTAGAGGCATTTATTAACAGAATTTGCTGTAGCTGCATGGTGAAGATAAAAGTATGCCATGATGTAAATTCTATTTAGAAGACTGACAACATTGCCATGGAAAAGTGTTCACGGTGATGTTTTTGAGGAGAGCAACCCTGCTGTGACCAGGGATGCTTCAAGGACCTATGTTCTATGTGGAACTCACTGACAGATGCCAGATCTTTTGAGTTCTAGAGAAAAAGTATATCTGTGAAAAATAATACCAGACCTTCCTTTGGGCATGACTAGGATGAAAAAGTGAAGTAGAACTGAATGATTCAGTAGTGAATGATCACTCTGTCTTGGTCATTTGACTTGGACAGAAGGCTCTGCTGAATTCTGCTCATTCTGAATGCAGACAACATAGTCCCTGCAAGTTGAGAGTTGCTCAACTTTATGAATATCTTTGTGTATGTTATGGATCTGTCTGGAACAGAATAWATGTATTYATAGTCTGTATGGTCCTGCATTTGRATTTATGGCTTAACCAGTTGTTGATAACATCCCCATGCTTTGGGTATCAGTGAAATATTTCCACAATGTGAAGACTTTCTCTGCTCACACTTTGMTCTCACAGTGTATGGAAGAGGCTGGGTGGGAAAGAAGCTGGGGAGGCACACAGCCAGGATAAATCACCTGGATTCTTCAAAGGGATATTCCATATGATGTAATGTCATGCTCAGCAATAAAACTGGGCTAGCAGAAGAAGGATGTGAGGTGAGGGTTTTCTTCTAAGGAAGTTATTGCCTAGAGACTGTCTGGACATCAATCTTCTGCAGCAGATGGTGAGCCTGTGCAAACCTTCCTGCCACCTCCACCCCAGTCCTTTCACTTGTTAAACTGTCTGCACTTCCTAATCTCTCCCACTGTTCGTGGGGAGTGAATAATTGGCTGTACGGGTGATTAGCTGGTGGCTGTTTTCTGGTGGATACCAGGCAAAAAAGAATGACTAAAAATTCCAGAGAATAGTTTTGTTTGGGTCACTTGTGAGTTATGCAATATTGTATTTAAAGCCCTACCAAACAGGATAGACCTGTTTTCTTAGGATCTGCAGGACACATGATTTGTTTTGTTCTGTTATGTGCTTATTCAATTTGACTAACTAAAAATAAAATTCAAACACGGCACATATTTTTGCAGAGTAAAATGGGGTTTTTTTGCATTGCACTCTCTGAGGCTAAGTCCAGAGAGGCACAATCTGATTCAGAACCTTCCTGGTTTCTGCAGTCCATTTCCATAGGTTTTACCCCTGAGGGGGCTCTCTTCAGAGGAGTACCTTCACCTAGGGATCACTTTTGCAGGCTGTGTGAGGGTAAAMCCCTGCAAAAATCATTCCTGCCTGGGCACCAGAGTCCTGCCAGGGCCCCTCAGCAATGCGTCAGCTTGTCTCAGGAGAAAGACAAACCAGTTCTTCCCTCTTGTTTGGCTGGATCAAGCTGCATTGAGGTATTTCTTAGCAAGATCCCACTGCTTTAGGGGAGGAAAGGCCCGAGGAAAGGATTAAGTGTTCAGATTCAGCACAAAGTGATGACAACTAGCACATCTRTGTCACTAACAATTAAGCAATCAAACTTAACACATCTCAACTTGTGGATTTACCATCTTCTCACAGTGTCTAGAATTGCTTTGCTTTGTTTCTCTRATTACTTTGTATTTACAACAGTTTAATTGGGACATCGGGTGGGGAAAAGATGCAAATACGGAGATAAGYTTTTACAATAATGATCTTGAGCAATAAACCACAAGGGAAACGGCTTTCCTGTAAATATTACATACCTGCGTGACCTTCAGACACCCTCAGTTCTTCAATTTGTCTATTCCTTTAGTCAGTGATAAGGAGTCTCTCTTTCCTCCCACTAACAGACACATGTGGATCTCTCAAAAATGTCTATATAATAATTGACTTTATTAAATTTAAATTGAAGTCACAACTTTTAGTTGTATGGAGGSTTTCTGTCCTCCAGAAGCAACGCAGAGGACTCGGGGAAGGGAAGAGGGCCAGAAGTCAGTCAGCTGCCTTTTACTGCAGAGTGATTCGAAACTTTGCTGGGTAGGTAAAGTTACATAACCTCCCATGGTCAGCTTTCATTTGTGAATCCACTTTTTGCAGCTGGCAGTCCACATCCACTTGTATGTCTCTCTCAGCACGGACTTTAAATGATTGAAACAAGGTATAATCTAGAGCATTGCAGACATCTTGACTTGGCAAAACCATGTCACCTCATGCAGGAAAGCCCTAACTTAGCATTTAGACTAAGGCAACCTCTGTAATCCTGCAGCAAAACTCTRTAAATGAGCAGCAGAGTTMCTCCTAAAGCAGACTGATCGTGAARTRGTGCTGCAAGGACARGCAGARAAGCTGCTGCAGCATGGCAGGCATGGTGGRCTCGATCTGCAAGCACTGACTGGAACCCAAAGGGAACAGCCAAYGTCTGAATGACTGATCCTGATGATCTGCAAGGGTCTGTTCATGCTGAGACAGCGTGGTGAGTTTGGGCTCAGGTGATTATGGAGACCAAGGTTTGAAAGACAGGACAGACACRGCAGCACTTGACCTGTGCTGAGCCTCATGGACTTGTATAGGTCTTTGGAAAAAGTGCTGAGAGTATAAATTGCATCTACCAAAATTTTGCCTTTAGTCTGATTTGTAAAAATCCTATTTCTACACAAAAATTAAACAGCCCTGAAATACCAAAGTGTTGATACAAGACCTCATTGGAAACTGACATACAWCAAAGTGATTTCAGAGGAATTAAAGACTAACTCCATGGCTTYATGCTCTGGTACAGAAAGTGTGAGATTCAATTTAAATGTAGTCAATACAAGGCCAGTGCAGAAGCTTGATTTACCTCATGTGTGAGATTCAGCCAGAAGCTGAGATTCAGCCAGAAGGATTGCAAAAGACAGAAACCAGATGTATGTGAACACAAATAAAAAAAAAATTGTACACCATCTTTCTCCCCTGGAAGTTGTCAGGTTTGATCATATTATTGTCTCTATTCAAATGATCTCTGATTCCTAGCACTGATTCATGTCTGGAAGCTGTTTGCTGATCAGGCAGATACTSCAGGTGTGGGACAGCTCCTTTTCTATCACCTTCTATGGTTTCCAGTAACTGAGTAAAAAGACTGTGACATCACTTCGTTGGTGAACCTGGTTATACYGCAGAGGTTTTCTTTCACCAAAYMTTTCCTTCCTTGAGCAG